GTTGGAATTGAAAGGAAGTTAAAAAGATGAGTGTGAAAAGTTATTTACTGTGATGGCCAACGTTAAAGTGACTGGAAGATCGCTCCAGAAGTGTGGCATCCAGAGATATCTACAAGCAGCAATTTATTTGACCTCAGTTTTGGAACATGATTGAGTAGGAACTCTAATGATTGTAGATGTGTATGATGGTATATTATTGTAAGAGCAAATGTAAAATCTTTAATAAGAATCCTTAAATGTACAGGCAGCTGGGCAGGGACAACATTATGGGAAAACATGCATTCCATCATCAAAACCTTGTTTAAAGTCTTAAAAAAAAGTGTCTTATGAGACTTTCTGAGAATTGTGCTCTGGTCCGGATGTTTAACCCTGACTGGCAAGAAACGGAGAAGTAAAATGAGGAAGTTACTGACTTCAAAAATAATTAAAGGCTTTTGAAGATTGAACAGTTTCTATTTTTTTTACTTCTCAGTAGAAATGATAATCAACAAAAAAGGAATTAAAACGAGATTAATATTATAATTTAAACATTGTTGATATAAAAAACGTATTTTATTCATGTGAAAATTAAATTTTGAAGTCGAGCTCCTCTTTCATTTTTGAGTTTTTTCTCACACCTATCGGCAGTTGCTGCAGATGATCTGCTGACTTTGCCTTTTCTTCTTCTGTACTAAAAAGCATTTAGCATTTGCAAAATCAGGCTTTGCCACCTCATTTAGCAAACTTTCGTTTTGCGCAACATGTCAATGCAACAAATATTAAGTATACATCTTGACCAACATTACCTGTAGATCAAAATCCACAGAAAACTATACAGAGCAGAAGATGCTTATTTACTCTAACTAGTAAAAAACTACATTTGTCATAAAAAAAAGGCTGATTTAAAAGTCTGATCTCTTGCAGACTCATTTGTGTATTATTTCTGTAGTCATTACAGACAAATTTAATAAGGTCACTAGGTTTATTCCAGGCATAATATTACCTCTGCCAAAGGGGTTATGTGTTTAGTCGAGATTGTCTGTCTGTCTGTCTGTATACAGGATAAGTTGGAAAGTTATGAACAGATTTTAATGATGGTCCTTATCAAAATCCGGATGCAGAAGTTTCTTAAAGAATAATTAAAGAAACAAGCAGTTCCCCCCTAAACCACAGAGTGGCAGCAATGATTATTGACAGCTTCACCATTGGACTCAAAAACACCCACAAGCATTATACTGAAGACAAACACATGCTAAAGAATAGCCATGCCTTGCTCAAAGTGTCGATCAAAAGAAAGCAGAGTGCAGAGTGAATGGAAGTGAGTGCAGAACAGACACCAGAGGCTGCACACTGCAAAAAAAAATAGAAATTTAAGAGTCATTTTTTCTTAAAATAATTGCATTTTTTCTTGAATTGAGGAGGAAGGTGAGACACTTTGCCACTGGAACAAGAAAATTTACATTTAAAATAAGAAATAAACAATTGCAATGTCTTATTTTAAGTGCATGTTATCTAATTTTCAGATTTCAAGAGTAAAAATAATCTTTTCATTGGCAGATCCTCTTACCTAATCATCTCTACCCACTCCAATAAAGGGTAAATACACTAAATGTGAGAAATTTTTGCTTATTTCTAGATCGCTTTTGCAGTGCAGACACATGTTTATTACTTATAAAGATACACTGCTAAAAATAAGTAAAACAATCTTTACATTAAATTAAGTGTATTTAGCCGTAATTTGAGCTGGAAAATAAAATTATTTGTCCATGGGATTAACTTTTTACTCTTAAAATAAGTTAGATAATATGCACTTTTTGTCTGATTTGTTTTTATCTGGGGAGACAGTGGCGTCAGGTGCAGGAGTTTGCCATGCAAGCGGAGGGTTGCCGGTTCAAGCTCCATCCCTTAGTGTCGTTGTGTCCTCTTTGGGCCAGTGTACGGCAGCCTCACCTCTGTCAGTGAACCCCAGGGCGGCTGTGGCTACAATGCAGTTTGCCACCATCAGTGTGTGCGTGAATGGGTGAATGACTGAATGTAGTGTAAAACGCTTTGGTCAAGTCTCCTGACTTGAAAAAGCGCTTGTCTTGTCTTGTTCCATTGGTAGGTGTCTCACATACCTCCTCAATAAAAAAAAAATCACTTATTTTAAGAAAAAATTACTTATGGACATTGAAATTTTATGCAGTTTATTAAAAGATTTTAAGAAACTTGTTACCAAAGGAGCAATTCAATCAAATTTGCAAAAGATCCAGATCATGTGCGAGTTTTAGCTATAGGTGTAGGTCACAATATGGGGTAAAATTTGCTGCTTGGCAGAGGACTGTGCTCTCAGAGTGTTTTTCTAGTTTTTTTTTATCTTTTAGTTCCTTTGAGATCCTTGTTCACAAAAATTTAAAAAAGAAAGTTTATCATATAAAATTAGATTTTTTTAGGTTTAAATTCACAATTAATTTACTAATTTAAAATTATCAGCCACAATGTGCTTATTTGTTGAAATTTGCAAAAAACATACCTTCTTTGACACATCAAAAGATTATGCTTACAATGCCATCCATGCGCATCAATGCCCGTTGAAAGCACAGCAAGAACGGAACTTCAGCAAAACATAGCAACAGATACACTATATTGCCAAAAGTATTTGCTCACCTGCCTTGACTCACATATGAGCTTAAGTGACATCCCGTTCCTAATCCATAGGGTTCAATATGACGTCGGTCCACCCTTTGCAGCTAGAACAGCTTCAACTCTTCTGGGAAGGCTGTCCACAAGGTTTAGGAGTGTGTTTATGGGAATTTTTGACCATTCTTCCAGAAGCGCATTTGTGAGGTCGCACACTGATGTTGGACGAGAAGGCCTGGCTCTCAGTCTCCGCTCTAATTCATCCCAAAGGTGTTCTATCGGGTTGAGGTCAGGACTCTGTGCAGGCCAGTCAAGTTCATCCACACCAGACTCTGTCATCCATGTCTTTATGGACCTTGCTTTGTGCACTGGTGCACAGTCATGTTGGAAGAGGAAGGGGCCAGCTCCAAACTGTTCCCACAAAGTTGGGAGCATGGAATTGTCCAAAATGTCTTGGTATGCTGAAGCATTCAGAGTTCCTTTCCTTGGAACTAAGGGGCCAAGCCCAGCTCCTGAAAAACAACCCCACACCATAATCCCCCCTTCACCAAACTTTACACTTGGCACAATGCAGTCAGACAAGTACCGTTCTCCTGGCAACCGCCAAACCCAGACCCGTCCATCAGATTGCCAGATGGAGAAGCGCGATTCGTCACTCCAGAGAACGCGTCTCCACTGCTCTAGAGTCCAGTGGCGGCGTGCTTTACACCACCGCATCCGACGCTTTGCATTGCACTTGGTGATGTATGGCTTGGATGCAGCTGCTCGACCATGGAAACCCATTCCATGAAGCTCTCTGCGCACTGTTCTTGAGCTAATCTGAAGGCCACATGAAGTTTGGAGGTCTGTAGTGATTGACTCTGCAGAAAGTTGGCGACCTCTTCGCACTATGCGCTTCAGCATCCGCTGACCCCGCTCCGTCAGTTTACGTGGCCTACCACTTCGTGGCTGAGTTGCTGTCGTTCCCAAACACTTCCATTTTCTTATAATACAGCTGACAGTTGACTGTGGAATATTTAGGAGCGAGGAAATTTCACGACTGGATTTGTTGCACAGGTGGCATCCTATCACAGTTCCACGCTGGAATTCACTGAGCTCCTGAGAGCGACCCATTCTTTCACAAATGTTTGTAAAAACAGTCTGCATGCCTAGGTGCTTGAATTTATACACCTGTGGCCATGGAAGTGATTGGAACACCTGATTCCAATAATTTGGATGGGTGAGCAAATACTTTTGGCAATATAGTGTATTTTCACGATCTTACAAAGCAATTCAAGTATTTTGTCTCTGTGTGTGCCCTAGTCATTTACAGTACTTGGTACGTGTTCTTATTTGCTGTTGGTGACAGTGCCCAAGCAGTGGCAACAGGTTGAAGAGTAGGTCACCAGTTTCACACCAGTTTGCATTAACCACACATATAAACAAGTACAGGGGTGGATAAAATCAAATGTAAACCACAATGTGGATCAAGGATTGTCAACATCTGAGCCCAGCTGGCACTCTGCCAAAGTTCCGATGAGCAAGAGCGATGCAAAGCAGCTCATTGTGCATTTTTCTCATGGTCTGGAAACCAGCCAATGTGGTCTGGTGTTTTTCATAGCTGCTGTCTCTGCAGAAGCAAGATGACTTGGTTGCACCAAAACAGGCCAAATAGTTGTGCTCTTATTCCATAATTAGATGAGAAAGTCTGACTTCAAGCCAGCAAGATTAAAACAGCCCTTGGTCTCTGATTTAATGGTCATAACAGTTTGATCAGTACATTTAGCAAGTGAGGTCATGTTTTAAAGGTGCATCTAATCCAACGTTTGCAAAATAAGAAGCTATATAAGTGCCCACCTGTAATTAATTGCAGGTGATATTTTATAATATCAGCAAAAATGTAAACTAGTCGCTGCATAATTATAACAAAAACTTCTAAGTCCTACATTTTTTGTCCTGAATGGGAAAAGGAAGGACAAGCATTTATCCATTTTTTTATTTTTTCATAGATTCATTGAAACGCAGGTTTAAACTTTAACCATTAAAAAAAAAAAATGTATGCATTCATCTACGCCTAAACTAAAAGTTTAAACTAAAACCTTTACTAAATAGAAATTGGCCCTCAAGGGCTGACGTCCTGCAGATTTTAGAATTTCCCTTCTTTAAGACACAAGATTCAGATTAATGCTGGTCAGCAAATGTTTTTTTTTAAATAAGCTATCAGTGGAAATAAACATCTAAAACTTGCAAGACAGTGGCCCTCAAGGGCCAACTGTGAACATCCCTGTTCTAGACCATTGTAGCTCTGGCCCCATGCTAAGGATCTTAGTCCTGCTCCAACTCCAACTTTCATCCCAGTTTGAAGTCAGCCACCAGTATGTTGTATTCTGGTATAGCCAGTTCCTTTGTGCCATCATTTCTCACCTGCTGCTCTTTCTGTGTATCTCAGCAACATGATCCTGCCAATACCATGTTATCCTGCTGGGATCCGTTTTGCATCGGGAACAAAAAAAAGTTTGTTTTAAGTTTGATCTGATCAGAGCACTGTACTGTATTCCACATGCTATATAACCTTAACAGGTGCATTATTCCTTAAACAATGAAAAAACAACAATTAATTATTTTCCTCACACTTTGCAGTTAGTTACTTTGTTTTTTGCTATCACATAAAAGGCTTATAAAATATATTCAAGATTTGGCTCTAATGTAACAAAAGGGGGGGGGGGCTTCAAAAGATATGAATTGTTCAGCAAAGTATTTTATAATTACAGTAGGCTTCAATTTAACTGCCAGGTTTCACAGCTCTGTGTCTGCCTTGTTACTATATGCGGCTGAATAAATAGGGAATGAATAGTTACTAATCATGCCTCCTTGTCCAGTAGACAGCAAAGCCTGTGTGACCCTGAATGTCACACATTAAGTAGGGTCCGCTGAGGGTCTGTGAAGAAATTTCCATGCAGCTTAGATATTTTTGTCTCCTTTGCTGTGTCTAACAATAGCGACAGTTATAGTCCCTTTCAGAGGATGGGGCCAAGGAGAAAATAGAAGCACAGTTAGAGATCCATGCATTCATATTTCATTTTTATTCTTTTTCTTCTCCCCTTTTTAAGTAGGATGGTTATGATACAGGACATTATTAGATACTTACAGAATGTGCATCACTTTGTGGATGGTAGCTGTTTCACCTGCCTAACAATAAAATGGACAGAAGTGTGAGAATGTCTGCAGGGACCAAGCAGCTTGTGTGCTCTGACCTTGAGAAGCATGGCAATGTCTTGAGGGTGAGATATAGTGAACTCCCTAACTGTCTTAACCTCAGAAGAAGTGAGGGAAAGGTCTTTTCCAAGTCAGGTGCAACCACACCCTGACTCATGCATAACCAGCTGAACTTACTGCATGAACTCTAATAAATCACCTTTACCCTCTCAAGTTAACTTTGTGCCCTTTCTATAGGTTGAACTGTAGTTTGCTTGCACTCTTATTTCCCACACAGGAGTAAACGGTTATTCATCCTGAGAAAAAGTTTTTAATTTAGAGATAAATGCAAGCTTGATAAAATAATAATACATTCAGATAAGGTGTACACTATTTTAAACCATTCAGACAAGTTCAATCTTTGTCGATTTAGAATTTTTAAAATATGAATTTGATAAAAATTGAGGACTAATATAGTAGGTAAGAGATGCTGGAAAAACAACCATAGGACCATAAAATAAGTAAAAAAACAAGTTCTGGGCTAGTTTTGCAGTCACATCCAGATATTTGAGGGACTTTCAATAAGTAATGCCCGTGACCCACTTTCAGGTCTTTAATCTAGCTAAATTCTGTATGTGCAATTATTTATATCTCTATAGATCAAGTGGCAAATAACAGCTCTGAACTAATTGTGGTTTCTAATTTACAGCGGTTTGAATTGAGTCAAGTCTGAAATTGAGTGTGTTGAGTGTCAAGCAGTGATCCGGTTTTTGTATGGCTTTGTAGGGCCTTGTATAGCCTGATATGGCGTTGTATGGCCACATGATGAGGCATCATTACCATAAATTCCTTTCATTTCATCACAAGTCTCCCGTGATGTGCATCTTTTCAAATAAATAAAGAAACACGCAAAAATCAGAAACCATAATTAGTTCAGAGCTGTTATTTGCCACTTAATCTATAGTGATGTACAGCAAATGTACAAAAAAGTTTGATTTGACAAATTGAAAACTAAATGTTATTTTTGCAACAAGCTGCTTGTGAAACATTTGCAGTTTCAAGTATTGAAGGGGAAAAAAACAGAAACCCACAGAAACTCTCATGCATGTGACAGATTTAACCTATCCGCTATAAAGAAGGCACAATTCTACCTGTTGGCATCATCTGTGACACTGCTGCGAAGAAAACAGGCAGAACAAGGGTATAGCAAGGTCAACAGAACACAGAGAGGTTTCATTGGCTCGTGGTAGCTGAGGTTAAGCCCACAGCCTTGTTTTTAAGAGCTCCAGCTTACAGAGACCTTGTGGCGTTACGGGAAGATGGACATGGACAACTCAGGTCAGTTCATTTTTGAGGTGTGCGGGTTTTAATTTGTTGTGTGCATTTCATTAAAATAATCACTTTAAATTGAAAGTTTATGGCTACCAAAGGTAAACAATGAAATGAATTAATTTAATAAATGTATTATGCATTATATTGTTTATATGCCATCTATAGTGTTTTAAAAACAATTTAATTTAATTTTTAGTTTTATGGGAAAGTTTCAACATTCTATGACATGTATATTCTAAACTCAATAGTATAAATATTTTTTAGTCCCCTAAATTAATTAAATTCCTCTGTGCTTTGTTATTAGTGCAGCTCTGTGATGCATTGACCCCCGAACAGCTGATTTAAATAACAAATAGAAGTGGCTTTACTTTAATAAATTCATCAAGCCGAAACTTTTAAGCTGCTTGCTTGTGGTTCATCCAAAATATGAGGCATCGCATGACTCATCAGTGTGATTTAGGTTTGATCTGTCAGCAGCTTTGCGACTGCGGGTTGAGGAAATTTTTAATATTACCAATTAAAATAATTTTGTTCTTGTTTGTGATTGCCTAATTTTAATGTTAATGATAATAGATCTGCATCTACAGTATTGCATTCAGAAAGTCTGGAATAGAAGAAGCCGTGATCATGAACCGTAACGGAAACAATATAACACTCAGTCTCAAAAAATGACTAAAATACTGTACAGAACTGCTGCCTACTCAAATGCATTGACAACCTGTAGTCAGTGGGAGATGATCTCACTTTCAACTTGATTTGAAAGATGGTGGTTTCTCTCATATTGGTGTAATTTACTGTCAAGTCTGTAACATCCAAGGTGCTAAAAAAAGGATCGTGCTGCGATCCTTAGATGATTCAAAATCGAAAATGCTTAGAAAACTGCACGATTTGTTGAACATGAAATTTCTATGCCTACAAATGTTTTTCCCTTACAAAACATTTACTGATATTTACTAAATTTGACCTTAATTAAAAAAAATAAAACTAATTAATGTGCATTAGTATAAATTGAGATATTAAAACAATAGTTTTTTTGTGCACTACTCTTCTTAGATGTTTATAAATATGATGAATAAAGATGGTCAGAAGACAATGAGATCATTTTAATTATCAGTCACCAAATTCTTTGTGTATTTCTAATCAGAATTAAAAGAGATTGTTTACTAGCTATAATTTAGATCAGCAAATTTTAAAATAAATTTAAAGGTTTTAAATTATGTTATATATTTTATATGCAGATGTTTAATAGCAAAATCTATTTAATCATTGTAGCATAATTAGCACAAACTGAGAATTGCCCTACAACCTGGTAAACATCAAAAGCATCTTGAGGAGAATGATGACTAAGATCAGGAGAAGAAAGAAATTTGTTGTCATGCAATGTACCGTGTTATCTTAAAAATAAAGGGGCCAGAATGCTGCATAGAGCGGCATTTTGGCTTGTTAGTTAAATTTGCTGAGAATGAATCTAGGTGGCACTCCGGTATATATCGTAGGGGCTTAGATTTGGGTGTTTAGGTTGGATATTTCAACCATCCAGTTATTCTATTCTTCTATTATACTTTTAAAGTTAGAACCGCCAGCCTTGACTGAACATTATAAGTACTGCCAAATTTTTCTAGGAATTTATGTTTATAATGGTAATTAATCATCGTAACCGGTTGAACTTCTGATGCAACAAAATACATTTAGTTTGTTTCAATGGTTTTAGAAAAAAACTGATTAATGTTTTCTTAATATTTTTATCTTAATGACGTCCTGCCTTATATATACCATTAATTAATTTTTTGTATCAGCTTCACTTTTTTAACACATCTTTCTGTAATCTGCTTTCTACTCATTTCCCTTCTTTCAGAAGCAAAACATTAGTCGTGCTAATTTCTTTTTATAACTTTATAAATATCAAAATTTTTACAGATGATATACCTTATGAAAAAAAGTCCTAGAAAATGACACATTTGAAATTAACAGGAACAAATCGATCCAGGAAAAGAATCTTCCGCTTACCTTTTAGAAAACCTCCCTTACATAGTGCTGATCTGGAAATAATGATATTTATTCTTACAAGTAAAGAGAATTTAACCTTATTATCTGCCTCAGTGGTTGCAAAGTGGCATAGTAAAACATGAAATGAAAAAAGGTGATTGTGGAAACCGCCTATAAAGGCTCTTAGCACGCGACACTGAGTGATATGTCGACCGTCTAGCTACCCACGATTTCCCCTCTGCCAACGACCTGATGCCAGTGTCACGCAACATGCCTCACAATGACTAAAATACCTCGGCTGCTTACTCAAACTGAAGAGCAGAGCTGCAGCTCTCTGACTTTCAACCTGTTTGTACCAGTTTGTATTTCCTGATATCCTGACGTAGGGGGCAGAACTCTTCTCAAAATGAACCCCGGCTTTATGCAAAACGTAACTTTTCATGCTTCTGAATAATACCAAGTCGTCACGCAAACCTGGTAGCAGTTTGGCATTTTGCACAAACCTAAAATGACTCATAATATTCAGAATGGACAGATCAAAGACTTAATTTTGCAATGTGCAGTCTGTCACAAGGTTTAGACAAGTTTTACAATTTGCAGCTAAAGAAAAAGAGAAATTTGATTCAGCTGCTTTTCTGTAACTGAAATTTTAAAAACATTTAAAACAGTTTGAACATATTAGAGACTGTAATCTGGTTGCTATAAAATAAAGAAATTGTTCTGGTTTTCTCCCTTTTATTTGCCTATCACATGACCTTAACACAAAAAAATATTGAGTTGATTTAAATGTTATTAAAAATTAGACTTTCATTAGTTTTCCTGACATTCTTAGATATGAGTTAACTACTGTGCCTTTGTGTTAGATGTTTTACAAGAATGTAAACCTTTACGTACAGCAAAGTTGATGCAAACTAAAGGATAGAGAAATGTAGTTGCATGATTTTGTTGTTTTCTTGTTTTTTTTAATTGAATAAGGATTTAACACTTAGCTTTTCTGTTTGTTTTCCACAGAAACAATGCCTGATATCTATGATGACTATAATACTACTAATGAAACTGACTTTTGTGAGCTTGGTGAGCAACAGGAGTACTTCATCAAACTGTTCCAGACGTGCGTTTTCTGCCTGATTTTTTTACTGGGAGTTTTGGGAAACTGTCTGGTGATAGCCACCTTTGCTCTCTACCGCCGCCTGCGCCTCCGTTCCATGACCGACGTCTTTCTGTTCCACCTGGCACTGGCCGATCTCCTCCTGCTCCTCACGCTCCCGTTGCAGGCAGCCGACACTCACAAGGGTTGGATCTTCCCCGTCGCACTCTGCAAAATTCTGCGTGCATGTTATGCCATCAACACATACAGCGGGCTGCTGCTGCTCGCCTGCATCAGCGTTGACCGCTACATGGTTGTGGCACGTGCCCAAGAGATGCTACGGCTGCGCAGTCGGATACTAACAGCAGGGAAGGTTGCTGCTGTAATTGTCTGGATTGTTGCCGTTTTACTTAGCCTGCCTGAAATCATTTTCTCTGGGGTTTCTGAGTTCGGTGAGGAAAAATTTTGTGCCATGCAAACAAGCGGGTATGTCAAGATGGTCCCCAGTGGGGCCATTATTTCTGTTTTCTGTGTGTCCTTCTTCATTATGGTGATATGCTATACTTCCATAGGCGTAGTTCTTTGGGAAGGCCACGTGCATCGCTGTGGGAAGCAGTGGCATCGGCAGCGTACCCTAAAGTTAATGGTTGCTCTGGTGCTGGTTTTCGTCATTTTCCAGCTGCCATACACAGTAGTGCTGTGTCTCAAAATAGCTAGGCCATACTGTGGTCTGATGACAGAGTACATCACCTGTACTCTGGCATACACACGCTGTTGCCTCAACCCCATGCTCTATGCACTGGTTGGTGTACGTTTTCGTAAAGATGTAGTGCAGCTTTTGCATGATTCCGGCTGTCCATGTGGGTTTCAGCTTAGGCTGCACAGTGTCCACTCTACATCCATTTCCGCCTCCTCTCCTGGTCTCACTGTACTCTCAGTTTGTTCCCCAACATCACCTGATACATATTCCACTAGTGATGGATTAAAGTTTCAGTTTCCAGCAAGTAAGTAAAGTCAAATGTATACAGTAAGATAAGTGACTTTGCTTTAAATTTTTCAGCTTTTCCAATCAATTTTCATAAAACATTGGTCTAAATAGCATTAGAACTTTATCTCAGTTTCTGCAATTGGTTCATAAGAAGTAACTTTAAACATCTGTTGCAGATCTGTTACTCTGCAATCTTCAGAGTAACACATTAATCACGCTGTGTCATCAAAGAAGCTTGTATGAAAGCCACTGTTATTCTTGAAATTGCTGAATATTACTCAACTAATATTGTACAGTTTTCTCCGTTTTCATGGGTTCATGTCATTTGTTGTCATTGAAAACAAAAGGATATTGACATTTTTGTGTTTTTATTAAATTCAAGAAAAAAAAAAAAACAAATCTATAAGAGAACAAATTTTCATTGATGGTAAAAAAAATGAAGAAAAAAACTTTTAAGAGAAAATAAGTAATCATAGAATAAATAAAAGATAGATTGACATTCGGAAAATTACTTCCAAGGGAAACACACTTTCTTTATATATATATATATATATATATATTAACTTTCAAATATATATTTTTTTGCAATCTGACTGACAACATGTCCTCTAAAAGTAAAAGCTTTTTTCTTCTCTTTCTCTCGAAACCTAAGTCTTTGATCTCGATTCAGGATTTTTCTCCTTCGCTGTTCATCGCAAACGCCCCTATCACCACTCAGCTGTCAATTCATTCTGATTTAAAAAAAAATATTTTTTTTTCTCTTGGAAGTCATTTTCTAAATTCAAATTTTCTTTTTTCTATTCCATCACAAAATGTTTTCTCTCAACATAACATTATTTTTTTTACGTCAGTGTGAAAATTTGTTCTCTCCAACATATTTATTTCACTTTTAAAATTATTTTCCCCTTTAAAATCACTTCTTTTCTTGAATTTAATGAAAACACTCCATATTGAGCAGCATTTAGTTTGTATACTAGCTTATTCTGTTACAATACAAATGTAAAACTGCCTGTGCATTAAGCTCAAACTCTTAGAAAATTGTTCTGTTTTGTTTCTTATGTTTTTTTGTAAGGGCCTCCAGCATTTTTATCTCAACCCTGTGATCTTTGTCAAGCTTGTAAATATTTGCAATTACTTTACTTTTCTTTTTATAACTTATTATATATATCATGTATTTTGTTCTATAATGCTTGTTCTATTTCATATGAAATGCCTTTAATTTCATTTTGTTGAATAAAAATTAAAGAACAAATAAACAAACTTTGAATCATATGAAATGTGTGGGTTTTTTTTTTTTCTTAAGCTTTCTGCTGAGAACCAATAAAGGTATTCACCTGAAAATCAAAACCCTTAGAAAGACTTACAAATAAAAGTTCTGGAGATTCTTGACCAAAGTCGTTTGCCTCAATCTTTAGCTGTATTAGCAGCTATTGTATGGCCGCCGGTATATTCAATTAACTTCATTTATTGACCTTTTATAAATTAAATGACCAGTCTTTTTATTTTTTTTACTTTTAGCTTTGTAAACATTTAGCAGTAATCACCAAAAAAGGTCAACAGTTCCTTTTTTCTTCAGTTCTTTTACCTTTATTATATTGACTACAATGGCAAAGGGATTGGCCCCATGGAGCTCTTCTCTGGTTTAGTTATCCATTAAAAGTATTTCCGCTTAAAGGCAACATTCATGAAGACTTTTTCAAGTCTACATCTCCGTGATGGTGACCCAGGAAAGTGATTTACAAGATGAATTTTTTCACTGCTTTTCTAGACATACCAGGATCACTAAATTGCACATTAGGGTTTTAAGTTTTTACACATGCAATAAATGGGCATGTTGCAGATTATCTACAAAGACTGCTGCACAAATGTTGAGATATGCAAAATAATTTGGTTCTGCTGCATTACTGTTAGCAGCTTGCATGTTCTACTGGCAGCATGAGGGTAATCGTAAAAGAAAGATGAGGTTTGAAACCATGTAGCAGGAGGTCATGATGAAAGTCATTTTTCTAAATAATAACTATAGCAAATATTCGTTTTAGGGAATCTAACATAGGTATTCTGTGAACAAAAGTAAGTCAGTATATAAAAATGAAAGTAAAATAGTAAATATAAAACATAATTAAGCATGTAGAAGTTGTCTCTTCTCTGTCTGCTGGACAAATGCCCTTTTGTGGTCAAAATTACCACTGAATCCTCCATGTGAGTTAACACTTTTCCACTAACTTATTAAAACTACCACAAATCAACCTGTCTTATGATATTTTCACGACTTATAGAAAAAATTATTGAAAACTTCTAAAACTTGTTGGTGCTTAAAACTTGTACGTTTTAAGCACCAACTAGATGCTGCGTTCGGGTTTCAAATTCCACCCTATAGCTTTTATGAATGAATTTCCATCTTCTCCCTGTGAATGTTTGCACTTCCACGTACTCCAACTTACACCGATAGTCCATAACAAAGTCCAAAGCAAGGAAGGATGTTTTCTATGATTTACATTTGGTTGTGAATGTGTACGTGAATGATCGTCCTGTTTATTAATGTTGCCTTAGGAGGAACTGGTGAAATTCCCCGGCTGTATCTCACCTTATATGCAATGACAGCTGAAGATAAAGACAAGGGTCTCAATTATAAAATATTGAGCGGGATTCATACTTTGTGTATGTAGACCGAACACAAAAAATGGAATACAGCAAATGCAATTCCAGAATTCTAAAATAAAGATTCAGCTTCATGCTACAGTAGGGTTCAATCTACAAACCTGCATTTAACGTGCATGAATGTTGGGTTTTGTAAATTAGCCACCTGGCCAATGCTATTTCATGGTGAATTATAGCAACCATGTAAGAAAGACAGACAGTTTCAACAATGCAGATTTAAGTTCAGTTACATGATATTGACTTATAATATCTAGATGTTTCCTAACCTCTCTGTACATGCCTGGTTTATCTAAACATAGTTTGATTTAAGTTTGTTCAGGGGCCATTTCATTTGACATATTCTCATGAATAGCTTTAGCTCACAAGTGCAAGCATGTATCACAGTGTATTTTAAAGCTGATGGTGACGTCAGTCTTTGATTAAGGTTTAATATGGAGTGAAATGACCTGTCTGAGGAATCATAAAGCTGTGTGGCCTCAACTCCCTACCTCAGACTCCCCAGTCTCCAAAATAAGCCAACACATGGGTCAGAGTTTGCATGAGGACCGCACGTTTTCCCAAACAGTTTAATTTTTTATTATTTTTTTTACAGATCACATTCTTTGAATGGAAAGTGACATACACAACTTTTAGGGCCAATTTTCTCACTTTTATAATTGAAAACTCAAGATAAGCTGACACAGAGGACAGAACTGGTTAATATTTTATTGTATATTTTCTTTAAATGCCTTATTACACCATAGTTTCTTCTTTCTGACTGAACCAAAAATTACAAAGTGATAATGATTGAGTCATATACTTTTTTTTTCTAACAGCAGACATGGAATCATGCAGAAAATATTCTACATCAGCTGTAATATCAGAATGACTGTAAATGTCATCTCGGTGATTAAGATTTGAGGTGTAGTTAGTATGAAATGTTCCGACCAGAATGCCCTATTTCTTTTTTTGTTCTCCTAAAAAGAACAGTAGAATTCAATTAAGTTGATCAAGAATTGGTTTATGATCTGGTTACTGAGAAGCCAATTAAAAGACAGCAGATACACTGTGTAAGAAATCAGTTTAAGACAGCTTTTTTTTTTTAAGCTCTAATTACGAGATACATTTATTGCATGAATGTGTTTTACTTTTAACACCACAGAAAAGTCCAAGTATTACTGTTGCTTTTATTTCATTTTTTATCACATCCTGAGAAAGATTGGATGAATAAAAAATAGCCTGTCAACTAATTGTTCCATTTGGTAGCTTTGCAGAAACATGATGAATAAAACCAATCTTCCTCTTGGATATTAAACAGTGAATTAGTTGTTATAGATGTTAAATGTTAATGCTAATAAAAAAAGGACATTTATATATCTGAATGAGTCAACTACTTACAGTAATTGTGAAATTAGTTGGTAGGATTGAACTCCTGCACTATTTCCAATCACTGTGTGGCGGAAAACTTGAATAAGGCTCATATTTGGTCTGGGGGTTTTGTCTTTAGGATGCACTAGTCTCTGTTTAAACAGAGAAACAACCTCTCCAGAGACGCATGGCCCAACACAGAAGAGCGAACTTCTCCGGACAACACGCGGCAGTACATCTACACCTTAATGACCAAATATGAGTGATTTCACGGTCTTGGTTCTGTTGTGTTTTCTTTTGAGTATTCAGCTTTACTTTGTTTCATGTTTTCTAGTTTTATTGGCTTCATTCCTATTTTGTTTTGTTGGATTTTGGATTCCTGCCTCTGTTAACTGTTACCACTAATTAAAACTGCAAGAACTCACGCCTGCCTCATAGCCTCTGCATCTGGGTCCTCAAAAACCACAACCAAACCCTAACAGCGGAGTGGTGTATCCAGTTCAATGCAGTGAGGAATGCTCTGATATTTATATTGGAGAAGCCAAACAACCTCTCCACAGACACATGGCTCAACACAGAAGAGCGACCTCATCTGGACAAGACTCTGCGGTACATCTACACCTTATGGACAAAGGACATTCTTTTGAGGACTAAAATGTTCACGTTTTGGACAAAGAAAACAGGTGGTTTGAGAGGGGCGTGAAGGAAGCCATCTATGTTAGGAAAGAAAAACCAACCGCAAACAGAGGAGGTGGACTCACATTTCAGCTTTAAAAAACCTGAAATGTAGCAATTGAGTTAATCCTTCCTCACCATCATTGCGACCCCCACCCCCTTACAGGGAAACAGAAGACCATGCCTGTACAGCCAGGCCAACAACTCCCTTTAATGAACCCCATTTCAAAGACATAGACAGGTATGGGGTATCCCAGGCTAACAAAGAAGTTAGGGGTGGACCCCTTTGTCTGGTTCAATTTGCATGTTTTCTAAACCAAAACAAGGCTTTGTTGAGCTACTCTATAAAGCCTCGATTTCAACATTATTTCTGACATTTTGAATTGAAAAAGCTTCCTAGATGATGATAATAATTCCTTATAATATCAAATACAAAATGATAATCAAAATAGATGTCATTATTTTTTGTTGCATTTTTATGCTGAAATTCTTCACAGGTGGTTTATATTTTGTGGCAGAGTGGTTCTATGCATCAATACATCGGGTGAGTGCTTTGGTAATTTAACTTGAGTAGATTTTTGACCGAGTAACTTTTACTTGTAGTTGACTAAGATTAGACCATGAATATCAATACTTTTACTCAAGTGCTAGTTGAGTACTTTGTCCACCACTGGGTAAGGGATTACCAATTCAATGTTAGTGCTGAAAAAACAGAATGTATTTATTTTTGTTCTCCTAGGAAGGATTTACAAATGTCCAACTCAATCATGTTTTTCAATCACTACTTCATACAACAACAACTTACAGACACTGGTGTATTCTGTTGCACTTACATCTCAATTACAAAGAGCATATCAACTGTCTGAACAGGAAACTACAACAAAAGCTTGATGTCTACCACAAAATCAGACCATATCTCACAGCCCCCTTTTTGTACTCCTATTTTTTTGCAGTAGACCTTTACGCACCAGCAGTACCATCACGTTCTATTTTTAATGAAGATGAACCAGCTCTGATGATCCTGCCATCTACAAACAGATGGAGGGACCTAGATCTGTCTAGGCAAGATTGAGCTAGACTAGACAGCTCCCTCCATATAAAAACACTTTTGGAAAGGGGTCATTCTTCTACATCTATTACTAAGCATACAGACTCTTCTTGTTGTATGGTTTCACCTGTCATATTTTTTATGAGTGTGTAAATGTTGGTTTCTGTGCAAATGATCTTTGTGTGGAAGGATCTTTTCTGCTGCAGGACAAGAACCTGCTGGGTTGCTGCAGAGCTTGTAAACCTTTCCTGTCTATTGGTTGGATTAGAAAAGTTGTGACTTGATTTGCAATCTAATAAATGTTTCTTAAATAGGAGTTCCCAAAGAATAATTCTGTCATTTTAAACTGATTTAAAACCCTTTATGATGTTCAATTATGTGGGAAAAAAATCACCTAAAAAATCTTACTTTTTCCTATTTAAAAAAAAACATTTACATGTAGGCCACAGTTTACAGCTTCATTTAAGGGCTGGCTATCGTTATAGAGATGAGGCACAATAAAAAAAAATGCATTTTACTGGAGTCATCCCAACATTCAATCCAA